GTAGATCAATTGACCCATTGTTGACCTAAAATTGGCCTCAATTGGTTGGGCAATTTAAACCATGTGTTGCTTAGTCCTAGCTAGATATAAGGTTAGTTCACCTATTCATTTTTAATTAATTCTTGGATAATTGTTCTTACTCTGTCCAATGGTAGTGGGAATGGTGGGAAAGAAACATTCTCCTCATCTTGTCTCTTCTTTGGGCTGTTTTGCCTAAGATGTAGATTAAATTGAGAAAGGCATTTTTTTCCCTATCATTCTTCCTTGGATTGAATTCATTATGAGAGTACTCATTCTACTAAAACAACTAGCTCCCATTTGTTATTCTCCTCATCTTGTCTATTCCTTGGGTTGGTGTTTCACTCAACTTCAACCAACATAGTAAAGGTTAGAAAAGGCAAGTTCTCCAAGTGCACCATATATTTATCGAACATTACTTGGATGCAAATTTTGAGTAGTTCTTTGCCATCATGGGAATCTTGTATGTCCAACACCTCTTCTCTAAAGTGTTGGATGTGCTACATGGTATCATCATTCAACTTCTAATGGTTTCTTCCCAAGTCAACTAAGGTGACTATCTCTTAGGTGGAAAAGAACTATTTTTTTAAACATCTTACACATTGACTCCAAGATTCCATAGAACAAAGGGTGAGATTTACATACCACGTATAAGTTTTTTCTATTAAAAAAGTAGAGAATCTTTCAACTTCAAGTCATCATCTAATCTTTCTATTCCTAGAGTTTCTACAAACTTTATAATGCTCTCGTGCATCTCTAGACTTATTGTTGAATTGCTTGAACTTGGAATTGGTGTATCCCTAAGGTATGGTTTGGTAGGTACACTAGTTGGATAAGGCAACTTGAGGTCAAACATCAAAACATTTAGACTGTTATTTTTTTTTTTATCAAGTAGCTTTTAAAGCTCTTCTTTTGTCATAAAGCTAAGAGATCAAAACATCAAAACATCAAAACACAAGATAAGAGATCGTCTTTATCATTCGCTTGCTGTCTTTCAGTAATTGTATCCTTTCTTGATAAGCCTAAAGCATTTTTATAATGTCTCAGACAAAGGTAGGATCATGTGTATCTTAAATGTTAGTGAAATTATCTATTTGTTCTAGTGGTACAAAATTTCTGTTGAGCTTTTTACTTAATGCAAGCACTCCTCCTAGTGGAGTTGTCAAAATATAAATAGGTCTTTTCTAATAAGGAAAGAGTTTGTGTTGCAACAAAAAAATGATGTGCTGGAGGCAATTTAGAGGATGATTGGAGTCATTTTTGTAGCAGGTGATGATGATAAATTTTAAAAAAAAAAAAAAAAGTAAGGTATTAAAGCAAGATGGAGAGTCAGGTCAAAAAAGCTTATTTAAAGAGAGAGTATTTAGAAAAGCTAAGAAAGAAAATTTGTTGAGTTTCAAGTGTCGTTGATGAATTATTAGAGTTTTAACTAGAAATCATGAAGGAGCGATTACTCGAAAGTAATATGCATATAATGGAAAATGGTTATTTAATGCATATGTCTGCAATGAGAATAACACGTTACCCCATTCTGAGTAAGGTAACAGATTTTCTAAATATTCATGCTACTAAAGAGATAGTTTATGAAATTGAGAAGTATGTTGCTTGTTTTTTAAGAAATGAATCATGAGAAAAATGAAAGGAAAATTACATTAAATTTTTTTTAATTATTTTATATTTAAATATCAAGTGCAACTTTTTAAAATATAAACTAATTTACAAACCTCACCACTGATCTCTAATCACCTTCATTAATGTCCAAGACAACCTAACTGCTCTGTTTATTTGATCGATTATAAAATATCAAAAAATTAGTTTGATAATAACTAAAGTCAAACATCTGATCCACTAACAAGCGTTAAAAGAGCAAACCCTTATTTTAACGTGAGGTGTAGGTGGCACTTTCAAAGCAAAAGCTGATAGTGATAAAAACCAAGTGGTCCCCGCAGCAGCAGCCGAATTTCAATTTCTTACTTTAAACGTAAAGAAAATCAATTGATATGGGGAGCAGTGAGCAGTACGGAAGCATTGCCCTTTTGGCCTTTTTTTGCAGTGTAAAAGGCGCGTCCAACCCGCGTCCAGACAAAGACAAGTCTTACGCGCCTGCCTTTGGATCATTACGCGGCTTGCCACAGCACAGCTTTCCGCGTTCTTCTTATTTTTTTATATATCTTTTTAGCTTAATTAATTACATTTTATTAATTAAAAAGCAAAAATTAAAAGATAATTACTAGACATGGTGCCATAATTGCATGCCCTGTGTCCTCCTCCCATACTTCCTTTTGCCTTTTTCCTCTCCTCTTTCTTATCTTCTTTTTAATTTTTTTATTTAAAAAAATAAAAAAATAAAAAATCATGCATCAATATCAAATGTTTAAATATTTTTTAATTTTAAATATTTTTATTTCATCATAATAAAATAAGGTAAATATTTAAAAAGAAGTTAAATTTTCAAAAAGGAAATAAAGTATGATGTCAAAGTCTTTAGTGGTTAATTAAACAACCAGGAACCCTTAATAAATTAGGTCATAAAGCATTCAAATTAGCAATAAACTTTGGTTTAAAAAAAACCTTCTAAATTTTATTATTCTTGTAATAATTAATATAGTTCAAGCAGGAGTTGCACTTGCAATCAAAATTAATTTATGTATGGTAAGATTTCATAGAGTTTGTAATGCAAAGGCCTTTATATTTTTTCGGACTATGTATAAATCTTTTTTGAGGTATTTGATGATGTATGATTTTAATTACCTTGAACTTTTATTTCGTTCAATTAAATTAATTAATTATTAATTTTGTTAAGTATTTTAAAAGCAACCACTACAAAATATTCTATATTCTTTAATAACTCGTGTGTATAATTTAAAGTTAAATTTAATTAAAAAAGTATCTAATAAAATCTATTAAAGTAAGGCCTTTTAAATTAAATTAATTAACTTATTCTCTTTTTTGAATGATAAGTTTTGTGTTCATGTAAGATATTATATGTTCTATTTTTTTTATCAAGGACATATTCAAGAAAAAAGATTCGATTTCAACTCTCTGAGAGATGATATTAACATTTATTTGAGGAAATTCCTATCACTACGTGTATTATCTTTTTAAACTCGCGTGGAATTTTAACAACTATTTTGAATGTATTAAGTATAATAATCTCAAAATTTATTAGTTACAAAGCCAAATTTCAGAGATGATATTATATGTGGCTAAAATTGACATTTAAGTTAATGATTAATTGATGCCAAACCTTTTATTTGAGTTTTTAAAAAAAAAGAAAAGAAAATTGTTCAATGCTATAAAATACCTAAAACATTACAGTTCATTAAAAAAAAAAAAAAAGAGGTACATGAAACTGTCATAGGCTTTTGCTATCAGTCACCATTAATTTATAGATTTTAAAAATATATTAATCGATGGAATTTGATTGACAACTATTACATTCATTTAAGGGAGAAGGATATGTTCAAATTAAATTTTTTTTATAAATCATCTTTAAAATTACTTTTTAAAAACTTTGGGCACAGTAGTTTTCAATTATATTTATTAAAATTTAATTTAAGCTAATTTATAAAATAATTAAGGTCAAAATTTTAAAAAATTTGACTAAATAAAGTCAAACTAAGATAATATTTATGAGATAGAAGGAGTCTTAGATCTAAGATTTTATTTTTGCTTTTTAAGAAAAATTGTATTGTTCCACTTTTTAATAATGTTCATTATTTTACTTTATTATTTTTATATTTTTCAATTATGCATCGTTAAATGTTATTTATGACATAAACACGTAAAAAGAAAAAAAATAAAATCTTTTTTCCAATTTATGATATAAACGTGTAATGTTTTTAATAATTAATGCAATAAATGTGTAAATCTTTTTAATAATTTTCACCTCTATATACCAAACATAAATAAAAAAAATTGTACATTCTTTTTCTTCCATTTTCCTTTGATCATCTTTTCCTTCTCTTTGTTTTCCTTCTACCTAATATAATATGTTAGATACAAATCTATACTCAAGTGAGTCCCTTTGATGACACTTAGCCTGTGTTTTCTTTTTTGTTGTAAAATAAGAGAGGAAGAATGTTACTATCTTTTTAAGAGGATTTTGATGCAAGGTTTGTATTCTGGCTCCTTTTTGAACTTTTATGTGTATAAAGAAAAAGAAAAAAAAGGAATGAAGGACAGCGAGGGAATGAAGAAAAGTATAATATTCAAAAAAAATTTTAAATTATTTTAAAAGTATTTTATTTGTTTTAATTATGTTAAATTAAATTTTTATATTTTTATTTTAAATCAAATAAATTTTATATCTAATGATTAACTAATTGATGTTAATTAAAATACTACTTTTCATTATATGTCAATTTGACAGATAAAAAATATTACATAATTATGTTATTATATCACATTATTATGTCACGTCATTATTCATTATAACATATCAATATTATATGAAATAGAATGATAAGTAATATTTTCATTAATAACAATTAATCAATTATGAATTATAAAAATTTATTTGATTCAAAATAAAAATATAAAAATTTAATTAAATATAATAATAATAAAAAAATTAAAAAAATTTAAAATTTTTTAAAATATTATGTTGTAAAGGAAGAGGTAAAATGTATAGTTGGAAAAGTATGTGAGTTTAGACTTTGAGCTATTGCCATTCAAAGTTGTGAAAAATAGAAGTGCCCATTTAAAATTGATATTTCAATGAAAATAAATACAAAAAACATATTTTTATTTTAAGATTAAAAGATGTTTATTTGGTTATGGAAAAGTAATAATATAATAGACCTTTATGGCTGAGCAGAGTAAAAGTAATATTTTTCCAACAAGAAAAAATGGAAATTGTAAATGGTAATAGTGAATATTTAAAATGAATATAGTAATATATTTTATGTTTTAGACTAAGGGAGAAAAAAGTCGTCCACATGGGGAACAGTACCGTGCTCTATTTAATTGCTTCTCCGTTTTCCCTCCTCCCCACACCCTCCCATTTGGCTCCACCGCCCGAATGCCCCCTTCTCAATTTAGAAACCATAACCATTCCCGCACCCTCAAAATTCCGTAATATCCTCTCCCCTACGCTGCCCCCCCGTTTCCCTCTCTTAAACCATGTCGATGACAACCCCATCTCCGCAACCAAACACCTCCTCCGTCTACCTGGAAAACATGGACGAACTCCAAAAAGTGTTCAACCAATTCGACGCCAACAAGGACGGTAAGATCTCCGTATCGGAGCTTGGCGATGTCTTGAAAGCAATGGGGTCCTCTTACACAAAGGAGGAACTGGAACGTGTCATGGAAGACATTGACACCGACAAAGACGGCTTCATCAACCTGTCCGAGTTCTCCGCTCTCTGCCGCTCTTCTTCGGACGCTGTCTCCGCCGCCTCGGAGCTACGCGACGCCTTCGATTTGTACGATCAGGACAAGAACGGCCTGATTTCGGCAAATGAGTTGCATCTGGTTTTGAATCGGTTGGGGATGAATTGCTCGGTCGATGACTGTGTTAGGATGATCACGTCCGTTGATTCCGACGGTGATGGGAATGTTAATTTTGAGGAGTTTGAGAAAATGATGAGTGCTTCGGCTCCTAGAATCGACAACGGATCTAAGCCGTAGGATTTGAAAGTTGTCGACGGCGATTGCTTGATTCAGACGAAGCGAATCAATATCAAAGGTAAGCTTTAGTGTTTTCTTAGGCTGTTTTCATAAATAATTCCTCATCATATGGAGTTTTCCATACGTGTTGGATTCTCAACTTCAGTCAATGAAATGAAGATTGAATGGTTACAACTACCGAGGCTGTTTTTATAAATTTGTATCTGTCTCTATGCCTGACCAGTTTCTTTTTCCCGCATTTCAAATGAAAATTCCCATGATTTCTTTCTCGGGAAACTTATTGCTTCTTGCCAAAATTTCCTGCTTCAGTGAATTTATGTTGATAGTATACTATTTGTTTGATTATTAGCTTTGCGAATTCCGACCCATCCATGGAGGGATACTTGTATTCATTGACGTTAATAGTATACTTCTGGTAATATTCTTGTTAATAAAAGTAAATAAAAAAAAGTTCCAAAAAAATAATTGAGAATTAATACTATAAAATAAAATCTGCAAAAGTTAGCTATCGTGTGGTTGTACTTTCTGCTTTTAGAAGTAAAACGTAAGAATTACGTTTGTATGTAAAGTAAATACTACTAATAATGTGTTCCAAAAGTTACCGTTGAAAAAATACAAATTTCTAAACTATATAATTACTTACCGTTCCAAATGTTATATTTTAATTTATTCATAATGATTTTATTTTGGTGGTGATGTTTAAAAGATTTATATTAAATGCAGTGTCGATATATAATGTTTATAAATTTTCACTAAATAAAAAAGTTATCAATTCATAGATACGTTAAAGTAAAATATTTAATTATTAAATGTATGATTTTAATTTTTAAATTGATTTATTAATGAAATAGAATATTTAATTTACTTTTTAGACGTTAGAGAAACATAGATTTTTATTTATTGGGCAGGGTTGGACCACGTGTCACTGTTAACGGCAAATGTGGAAGAGGAGCATCAAATCTAATCAAACTAGGATTAAAATAATGTTAAGGACTCATTTTTCTTTTCTGGAATGCCGGAGGAAAGACTGGTCAACGACACATGTTTAATTTGTATAGGATACCAGCGTTATGCTTAACATGTCATTTGGTACCTTCGTAATTTTTATAGATAATTTTTGTAGAAAATGATTAAGATTTGAAAAATGTACTGATCGGAATAATCTGAATATTTTTGAATAAATTATATAAAACTTTAATCATTTTATTTAAATTTTTGATTCTATAAGATATAAGCACCTCAATTTTTATAAGATATAGATCAAGTATAAGGTTTAAGTTATCACGAAATTACGGTTTTGATGATTTTAATAGATGAAATCAAAGAGAACTAAGTTGAATAAAAAACTTAATAATATAGTTTATCTAAATATTGATAATCATGTTGAAAGCATTGTAAAGGGAATTAATTTGATAAAGTTCACTGAAAGAACATAACTTTAGCAATAGGATTAAAAAATAACTTTTAATTGACAAAGGTTAGTTAAGATATTATTTTTAAAGTTATTTTGTTTTTATATAATGTATTTATGAATAATTGATTTTGGTTAATATTTATTTTTTAAAAAATTATTTTACAGCATAACATTGTATAAAGAATAATAAAGGCAATCTTTACAAGTGAAACATTAAATTACACAAACAATTAAAATAGGTGAAGTATTAGTTTATACAAAATAATTAAAATAAATAAAGTATTACTCCATATTAAATGATTAATATAAGTAAAATAATTACTTCGCACAGAATAAGCACTTTATAATAATAAAAGTAAAAATAATATGAGATAAGTGATAGAGTTTACGGATTACTTTTACTTTAGAATATTTTAGAGAATTTTACTTGGTAACTTGGATGGAAGTAGTTTAGAGGTATTTCTCTTAACTTTTTTATGAAGTATAAGTATTTTTTCTTTTTACTTTGTTTTCATATAACTGTTCACGAACATATTTTTTTTTGTACTTGTTTATGTACATTTTTTTTCTTAATTTGTTTTCGTATAGCTTTTCATGTGTACTTCTTCGTTATTACTTTATACTTGAGGCAAATATTATTATACCTAATTATTTCAATAATCACGTAATAAGTTTCTGATCATTATTCATTATATGCAATAAAATCACCATTTTAATATTTAATAATAAATTACAGTTATTTATATTAAAATTTTTAATAATAATATCATTCATTATGCATATTAAAACTTATTCTTGAGTAATAGTCAATTCTAACACTATATATAAAACTTTCACAATTCATTTAAAGGATCTTTACGATTCTAAAGCTTTTCTCTCTAACATCCTATATCTATTCTCTTCCAATTCTTTTGCGCATATCATGACATTTAGTACTTAAAGGAATTGCTTTGATTCAACGCTTCATTTCTCTATCACAAGAACCACTTTAAAGTACTATTCTCAACAAGTTTAAGGGAACCATAACATATGGTTTCTTTATTTTAAATTGAATATTCACTTTTCAAATGATACAAATAGTTTGAAGCATCCAAAATAGAAAGATAGTCATTCACTTTAAAATAGGAGTATAAAATTTGGAATGGCTATATTTTCAAATTCTTTTCCCGTACATTTAATGCTACCTTTCGCGTAATTTGAAGTAAAGAAGTTACCCCAACTTAACTCTAATCTAAAAGCTACCCAACTTAAGTTGAAAGTAAAGTTAGATCATGAAGACAATTGATTAACAAGCTTACCAAAAGCATTATAAACAGCGTGAGTATTGGTCATGGTGTTTGTTTGGGTCAATGTTAATTGTCATCTCCTTTGCCTCTTGTATACCAAGATCACGTGATCATTTTTTTAGTCAGAGATTTTGTTGACTTGGTTAGTTTATGCACATTAACATACCTGATTTTATGGTTTCAACCATAGATTCATGCCAGCGTTGTTTGAATATCAGGGTACAGGGTTGCTAAGAATAATTTCACTTTCCTTGAAAACTTGATTTGCTCTACACTCTAGGCCTCTAGCCATAGGCATTAGGTGAGCGTAAGTGCCAAAACAGTTTTTGTGTAATCTTTCTTATCAGAAAATTCAGAATAGAATTTGGCTGTAAACATGGAAGTTACCCGAATGCCTTTGTCTTTTTGAATGATTGACTAGGAGCAGGAGGATGTTGTAATAACTTAATTTGTTTCAAGGTGCTATTTTTGATCCATGTGCATGGTTTGTCAATGAGGTTCTGCGTTGCCACAGACCTCAGTCAAAGCCACACGAAAAGAAAAAAATGAGGCCAAACTTTTTGAGTCAATGTGTGCTTGTCATCATCGTCTTGTTCAATGTTTTTCTATTGAAGCTTGAGTGGGTGGAGCCCTTTCATAGTGGTGTGATATTGACACATCCTCGTTAATTGGTGAGGCTGGATTTGGGACTTTGGAGCACCCAGTTTTAGTGCCTTGAAGCAGCACAGTATTTCCACTACACCTCAAGGTGAAAGGGTTTGTGGACAAAAGACATTGCTCCTGCTTTTCCGAAATATCAAATCAGGCAGACTCATAGTCCATACATATATTCCGCTTTATAACTATTTATTATGATTATTTGCTCTGCCTTTTGGAGGAACAACGGTGAGCAACACTAGTTTTACTATCTAATAGTCATTTCACCGCTCTACCTTTTTCTGGTAAAGTTTTGCTCTCCTATTTCGATATATACTTGAATGATTCGTAGCCCAATTAAACATTAGCGAAAATATTCTTTAGTTTTAAAGTTTGAGTTATCAATTCTAGACTAAGAAAGAAAATTACAAGAATTTGAATCAAAATCAAGATTTAAGGAATTTGGAAATTTTGGCTATTGATTGTGTTGAACTCAATCAACGTTGTTTACAAACTTTGAGAAACTATATATAAAAGTCTTTAATCTTGTATCAATTAGAGCTAGTCATCATATTAACCAACTAATGATAGAATTAGGTTAACCACTTCCAGATTCTTCAACCACCTGCATGTTCTTCTCACATGCTTGCTATTATGAGTCAATCACATGGTAGTTTCTTGATACTCCCTCTCAAAATGAACATGGATATTATGCTTCATCTTGCTGATCAATAGTTGAAAATGGCCAACAACAAAGCTTTCGTAAACAAATTTGCCAATTGTAAGCTTGTATGAATATAAATGATACAGACTACTTTTTTTTCTAATAAAATGAGAATCTACCTTAATGTGCTTACACCTTTCATGGAATATAGGATTTTTGCATATGTGAATAGCCGATTGCTACAATATAATTCAACTGTTTCTACATGAACAATACCAAAGTCTTTCAATAGATTCAGTAACCATTAGACTGCACAACATTTGTAGACAACGCCCTATACTCAACCTTAGTAGGACTCCTTACAGCTATTGATTGCTTTTTAGATTTTCAACTGATTGTAGAGTTTACAATGAAAATACTATAACTTGTTACAGATTTCCTTGAATCTTGACGCCTTGTCCAATCACTATTAGTGTATGCTTTCAATTTCATATTGAAATATTCTATTAGTAACATACCTTGCCCTGGTGCCCTTTAAAGTATCTCAGTACCTTGTAGGCGGCTTGTAGATGCAATTGATTAAGCCTATCCATAAGTTGTAAAAGCACTTTCATTGCATAGGCTATATTTGACCTTGTGAAGGTCAGATATGTCAATTTGCCTCTTAGTTGCCTATACTTGGTTACATCAATTAATTGATCTTTATCACTAACCTTAAACAGTTCATGGTTGTAATCTATAAGAGTGCTTGCAAGCTTAGCACCAAGCATTCCATACTCTTCTAACAATTCCATAGTGTATTTCCTTTGGCATTCAGACCCCTTGTTCTATTTTGGCTACTTCAATTCCTATGAAAAATTTTAATTTCCATTGATCTTTGAGTTGGAAATTAGCTCTTGGATAAACCTTCGCTTCATCAGTTGCTTTGACAGAAGAACTTCCAATTATTATGTCATCAGCATTACACAAGTAGAGCTACAAATTCACCATCACTTGTTTCCTTAATAAAGAGAGAATAATTTGATTTGAATTGACAAAACCCAAATCTCAGTGATGAATTTGTGAACTTGGAGTTCCATTGTCTTGATACTTGCTTCAAACTATATAGAGACTTTTGCTATTTGAAAACTAACTCAGCACTAGGTAAATACTCCCCCTTAATTTTATAACCTTGGGGCAGTTCCATGTATACAACTCCTTCAGGATCCCTATTGCAAAAGGCATTATTGATGTTGGCAGAGATGCCATCCTTGTATTGTAGCCAATGGAAACGAAAAAAGAAAAAAGGTCTCATTG